AAATACCCCTTCAAAAAGTATCCTTCAAACACTCTGCTCGTTTGTGACGACTTCGCCGGAAAAGGTTTAGTGTCAAAGCCTGACTCACCATTAGCTAACATCATTAACTAAAGTCAGACATTACCATTTAACTGTAGCAATACTTATGCAAACATGGCTTTTCTTGCTTTAAACATAAAACGTCTCATAACTGACTTCGTTATCTTTCAAGGTTTCTCACGTTATGATATTGAACTCATTTGGAAACAGTCAGGTATAACATTACCTTTTGAAGAAATTTGGGAAGCATATAAGTCTCTCATCTCTCCTCGTTCATACCTTGAGATTCATATCATGACTAATACCATTAAAGTCAAAAATATTCCATGGGAACGACCAACATTGTTTTAAAGTTTAACCTTCAATTGACTGATGGTAAACAAATTCCATGCATCTCTGTCGCCATTTCTGTTAATATTTTTGCTGTCATTCATATCATCCACTTCCCCATCCGTTAGCTTTTGAGGATATGTTAGAATAGCTGTTCTTAAATGAAGGCTTTTCACCTTTGAGAGCATAAACTCTATAACTTTCTGCATACTTTATGTTTGAACCTCCTGAGCCATCATTGACATAAATTTTTATAGGCTTCCACCCTTTGTTCATATTCCTGCTTCTTCCCTTAGCTCTTTTGTTCAGTAGTTCTACATCTTTATACACAGCTCCTGTCTCAGTGAATTCAACAATATTTTCATTCGTTAGCTTTACATTCAAACCCTTGTCGAGTATATTGTTCATTTCATACATATAAAAGGTTTTTATTCTATATGAAATGAGAAGCAAATCCATCTTAGCTGGTGCCGTTAATGTTCCAATTGAACCAACATCAAATGTTGACTCACGAACGACAAACAATATTGTCATAAAGAACTATAGTTCGGAGTGTTTGAAAGAAAAAAGAACCAGATCTTAAGTCGTGAATTTAAACACAGCTTCAAACGCTAACGCTACATCAGATGTTAAGTTAGAGTATCCACCACTGGACCAAATTCTTTCAAGAGAAGCCAACGACAACCCTTACACAAATGTTCAAACAAATCCTTCAGATAACGTAGACCATTACCTTCTTCAGTTATACCAAACAATTTTACTCAAAGACGATAAGAAGCTTTTGACAAATCTTATAAGTAAGAACCAAATAATTCTAACAAAGGAGGACCTTGAAAATGTTATATCACGAATAACAGGGAAACAATGTGTCATTGACTATCTCGACCCTGAAATCGAATGCTGTGGTCAAACTCCACTATTCATGAAAATAGGTAACATCCGCATCATTGAAACACCAGGAACTACAGGAGTTGAGTTTAAGTATAAATATTCGAACGAGTATAAAACTATCTACTGACTATAAGCTTTGTTTGAAATATGTTTTAGTAAATTAAAGCAATTTGTAATATCTATCCAAAACTTCTTCAACAGTATCGAACTCATCTTCATAATGCAAACCTAATCTTATTGACTTGGTGCAGTTTTCACTAACACAATATTTTTCTGTTCTCTTGACTGACATAACTAACTCATTTGTTTCATCAAACAGCAACAACCAAAGTTCATGCCCTAATACATAACATTCATACTTTATATTTTTAGCTCTGAGTTCTCTTGTAAGCTGTTGCATTTAATATTTTCTAAAAAGTCAACTTCAACAGTCATTCGCACTGGTGCCTTCAGTTCTACAGGCTCTCCTTGAAAGTCAACAAGTCTGAATTGCATGTCTTTCAAATTATGAGGACTAATGCGAACCCATTTACCTAAATGAGTTGCTATGACAGGAACGTTTGGAATGAACATTGAATTGACTGCATAACAGAAGGATTTATATTCTACTGAACCTTTACTATTAACTCCTGAAATACCTGTGACATTAGCTATTTTTGACTCAATGTACAAACAATTACCATAACATACGTATGGAACAGATTTCATCTCAATCGTTTTGTCAACACTTTTCAAAGGAAATGTCATATGGTATGCACCCAAAAGAAGTTGTACTCTATGACTCATTCGTGTTAACTTAAACTCCTTCGCATAACTGAACTTCAAAACTCCTGCAATAAGTTTAACATTCATTAAGTTTTCTTCGTTATCCTTGTTTATTGTAGTATTTATGAGAGCATTTAACACTCCAGCTAATGTTTCCATCTTATATTCTACATTATTGTGAAATCTTATTTCATGCTTCTTTCCATCTATTTCAAGCTCCATGAAATCTGTTTCGTCAGTTATAACGAATGAAGCAATAGTATTAAAGTCAACCATTCTGAATGCAAGTGGCTCATTCTGTAGACCTAAGTTTGTTTGTAGTTTTACTGTTCCGTATTCGTTCGGGTCTGTACTTTGTAAATAGAACAACATTTTATTCTCATTAAAATATGAGTATAGCTGCATATGCGTATGAAGCTGACAGAGCTAAACGTTTATATTTTGGTCAATACTCTCTCACACTTACTGACAAATATATTGTTATCAGTGATGGAAATACCGAGAAATACATAACATGGAAGGACTATGAAAAGTTTGACCCTATTTTAACTCCATGTACTATGCCATTCATTGTAAATGGTGAAGTTGTCATGAAGAACGACACAACAGTATATAAGTCTGTTCATGAAGCATTAGAATATATGTTGAATTATAATCCCGAAAGATTTGACCCAAGCACTACACCATGTGCAATGCCTTTTATTAAGGACGGTGAAATCGTAAGAGTTCCGGATTCAACGGTTTACACAGCTGTTCAAAACAGTTTACAAAACATTTTAGCGAATATCTTTAATTCAGAAACTACAGAAATAAAATTACCGTATATAACAGATGCTAAAGAAATTAAATCAAAAACAACAACATTATTTACGTCACTTAATGATTTAATGACTTATATCATTAATATTCCTGCACCAACTACAGCATTTGATCCAAACTCGACGGTTTGCAGTGTACCTTTCATAAATGACAGTTCATTAATTGCTTTAAGGGATTCGACAGTAAATGAATCATTAAAGGCGTCATTAATGAAAATCATTGATTTTAACTCATTCATGAATACATATAATTCATTCATTAATGTTTCATACACTTCTAAAGAAGGTGAGCCAAAAACTATAGATAAAGCGGTGTATGAAATAAAAGCATCAACGACGAAATTGAATTCGTTAACTTTTGACGGTGATAGTTTCGTTAATGACATAACATCGGGGAAAACAATTTTAACGAAAGAATATTTAAAATCTCATGTTAGTGAGTTCGTTGAAATTGAAAAAGAAGGTGGAATTAAGTTCGATCCACTGAATTTCATTTTCAGCTTAGCGAATGCGGGTGTTAGTTTCGCTGAATGGACAACTATACAGAGTGAAATAAATGCAATATGGACGTTTTTGGGGTCAAAAGCGGGAATGGGTGAGCTTGTAAATGCTGCAAGAACATTAGGTGAAACAGGAAATTTTGTAGATGGTTTTAAAAGACTTGTTTCAAATGTTTTAACAAACACAAAGAAATTATTTAGATATACCATACATAACGGTCAGATTTTCGAACAGGTAGCAACAAACCCTCCGGTTATGGCTGCGTTGATGATGGTTAGAGATATAAAACCACGTAACGACGGGAACGAAGAACATGAACAACAGGATACTGGTCGGGTTATTCGAGACATTAAAAACGTGTATCCTGAAGTTATTGATTTATTTAGAGGAGTTAATGATTCAATTTCAAAACATTCTATAACCCTCGATGAAGAGAATAAATTAACAGATTATATATTCGTCATTATTGCAGAATTAATGAAGAGAATAAATGAAAAAGGAATTGGTGATATCATTAATGTCAGCGATGTAATGATGAAAAGAAATTTTGACTCATTATTTACAAAACCGAAAACAGAATATAGTCTTTATGACGTAATTACCGAATTAATGAAAAAGATTAATGATAATAAGAGTTCTGGCGGAAGAGTTGAATTAGAAGTGAATGATGTTAATGAGAAATTAGCCGAAAAAGCAGACAAAAATGAGCTTTTAGCTCTGAGTGATAAAGTCAAGAACCACGTTCATTATATAACTTCAGACGAACAGATTATAACGGACTACCATGGATATTTAACACGAAGTGATGAAGTGAAGACGGAAGACCCCAATGAAAGAAGATATAAATACATTCGTGCTAAAGGTTATGACATAAGCTGTACTGTACAGTATGACACAGGTAAAGCACAAGAAGCATTTAGTTATAACGATGAAATTTATGCCTCTACTTTCTCTGTTAAAGGTGTATTAGTTGAACCAAGATTTACTTTGAGAGTTAAGTCAAAAATAACGTTTGAAGATGCTATTAAAAGTAAAGCTGACAAAGTTGAACTCGAAGCAATGAACAAAGTTTTGAAATCTCATAAACACAACATCTCCGATATAAATGAACTTCAAGCTACATTAGACAGTAAAGCCGACAAGAACCATACACATAAATCCTTCACTACTGTTAGAGCAGACGACATAATATTGAACTATACCCTTGGTTCAAGTGCACCTTTAGAGAATCCAAGTACAAGCGTAAAAGATACACTAAACTCCTTAAATAGTAAATGTATGAACATTGAAGGTCATGTCAGAAACTTTGAAGCACATGAACTACCAGCAATGTTAGATAAAAAAGCAGATAAGAACCATACACATAACTTCTTCTCAACTGTTGCTATAGAAAGTATTGAAGGAACGGTTGGCGGAACTGATGGGGATGCATTATATTATAATCCTCCTAACTTTCCACAAGGTTTAACATCGAATGAAAACATAACAACGAAGAAAAAAATTAGCTGTAAAAATGTTTATGTCATGGATGATGAAAATAAAGTTAAATTCACTGCTCAAGATTTATATGATAAGAAAGCAGACAAAACAGAGCTTCAAACATTAAAGACTGAAATATTGCAAGCTATATATCCTATAGGCTCTATTTATACGTCAATGAACTCAACAAATCCAGAAACAGTTCTGGGTTTTGGTACGTGGGAACAGATTGTAGATAAATTCCTCTATTGTGCGAACTCTTCAAAGCAAACAGGTGGTTCGAAGAAAATTAAAGAAGCAAACCTTCCACCGCACACTCATACAGGAACTACAAACTTTTCTGGTGACCATAGTCACTCATTAAGAGACCATCCATTATACAACTCAGAATATTATGCTGGCAATGACGTTTTATCTCCAGATTATAACCATTCGGCAAAAAAGACTTTTTGACCAACTGAACCAGGAGGAAATCATTCACACACTTTCACAACAAATCCAACAGGCTCGGGTGCAGATTATATGCCACCATTTGTGACTGTATTCGCATGGTACCGAGTTCAATGAACTCGCTTGAGACTTGACCCAAAGGGTTTAGGCTTACCGCGTTCAATGAAATCTTTAACTTTACATAAATGAGCTTGAAAGAAGTATTCGAACAACATCCATGGAGGTCTTTTAAGAAATTCAATGAAGCTGCAAAGAGTTCGGGATTTACTAACAGAGCTGAAGTGAAAAGGTTCTTTAACAAAAATGTTGTACATCAAACAAAAATAAATCCTTACGACTACTTTTTACCAATTTACTCCAACACTCCTGACGCATACCAATTTGACACTCTCATTCAAAGCAGAAAAGGAGGACATAAACCATTCCTCATCTTCATAAATGTTAACACTCGCAAAGCTTTTGCGTATATAATGAAAAATAAAGGAACTCGTGAAGTGTTAAGAGTTTTACAAAAGTTTGTAGCAGAACATAGCCCAAGTACTTTAACATCAGACCAAGACAGTGCATACCTCAGCAACGAAATCACAGAATTTCTCATTAAGCATAACATAACTCACTACACTACTGAAGACCATAACCATAACATACTCGGCATCATTAATCGCTTCATAAGAACGCTCAGAGATTTAAATCAAGAGCGAGACTTTACCGAAGAAACAATGAAACATTTTCTCGAAGTATATAATTCCTCAACACACTCTACAACAGGACATACACCAAATTCAATGACACAACAACAAGAAGAAAAGTATATACAAAAGAAACGAAGCCAAACACAAAATATCAGAAATTCAACACAATTTACCCTCATTCCTGGTACAAAAGTTCGTGTAGTTCTTGACGACAAACCGTTGACAAAGAAACGTTTAATGTTAAGTCGAAACTATTATATCGTAGACTCTACGCAAGGTAATGGATATCTTATAAAAGCTGCTGACGACTCCATTGCATTTTATCCTCGACATAAATTAGTTGAAAGTAGTAATGGCAAACTTGCTGAAACCATTGACGAAGCAAAGCGAGGAGTGGTTATTGAAATACTTGACTATAACATAAACGATGACACTTATAAAGTAAGATATGAAGGCGGCGTTGAAGATGTTATACCATCTAAGAACTTGAGAGAGTCAAAGCCAACACATCTGGGACCATTAGAGCGGGAGTACTGGAAAGACAAAAATATACCAGAAAGAATAAGAAAATTCTTCTAAACTTTTTCATTAGATGTAAATCAGACAAAAATATATTTTAGGTGAAGAGGTGAGATTTCACCTGTTTTCTCACCTGTTTTTTCACCTCCTTTTTCACCTGTTTTCTCACCTCCTTTCTCACCTGTTTTTTCACCCTCACCGCTTAGCGGCTCAGATTGCTTTTGCTTTCTCGTGAATTTTCATGAATTTCCTTAAGATAGAAAAAATAAAGTTAGTTTTATTTTTATTTATTTTTTTATTTTGTATAAAAGATATGATTTCAACAATCGGCACAACAACAATTCAAACAACTACAGCACCAAACTCGCTAGTCATGAATCCTACATCTATGTTAGTAGAGATGAAAAGCTTTATTCCTTCTTCATATACTTTTGAGACAGAAATACAAAGAATTAAGCAAGAACTTTTAACAAGTAATTTAGACTGTAGTGCGAAAGATGAAACAAATGAACAGTATCTTTATGACATGCAGGACATTATTGACCATTTACCCAAATTGCCTGAAATTCAGCAGCAAAAACTAACTATTCCTGAATTCGATGAAATAGAAGTGAAACCAACTGACTCAGTAGAAATAAAGAAGTTCATACGTAAAGTAAACTATGAATTCCTTGGTTTTCATTGCAACCATAAAGTTATGGACAAAGATTGCGACATGGTTTATAAAAATATTTCTGACCTTTACAAATCCGAAGAATTTAAGACATACGATAACTTTGTTTCATTAGTTGCAAAATGTGTTTGGGAAATAAGAGATAAAGATAGAAGAGGCAAAGTATGGAACGAACAAATAAGACCCGCTATGTTTGAGATGAAGAGAGCAATTGACGCTTTAGTTGTTTTAGCTGGTTTTATTTCAATGTATAACGCAAAAATGAATCCGCAATGTTCAAAATGTAAAGCAGCAATGAGGAAATATAACTACTCCGTCAAAGAGATAGAACGTATGCGAAACGACTATGCTGACTTAAAGAAAGAAGTAGAGAAACCAGCAGAAGATAAAATGGACATGTTAGCATTTCTGAACAAAAACTATCCAACAGCTGACGATTTCCTATTATCTGATGTCAAGAAGAAGTATAAAGAAACTTTCGGCATTGTTAAAACTTTTGACATACTGACAGAAGAAATAGAAGCTACGAAATTGTTTAGAATTTCAAATATACATCGTACAATTCATGTAAAACGCTTATAAAATAACTGGGGTGAAAAATTAGGTGAGAAAACAGGTGAAATCTCACCTCTTCACCTAAAATATATTTTTATTGAATTCAGCAACAAAATTCTGAGTAAAATAATTTTTAGGGCATGTGTCAAACCGTTGAGTTTTCACAAAATTTAAAAAATAACGTTTACCATGTAAAACACTTATAAAATAACTGGGGTGAAAAATTAGGTGAGAAAACAGGTGAAATCTCACCTCTTCACCTAAAATATATTTTTATTGAATTCAGCAACAAAAATAATGAATTTCATTAGTTAGAAAAATAAAGTTAGTTTTATTTTTATTTATTTTTTTATTTTGTATGTAAGAACAGTAATGTCAAACATTGAGTTTGAAACAGTTAGAAAGATTGACAATGACACCAAAGTGGTTAGAATAGGTGATTTAAACGTAAGATACTCAAAGAAATACAACAAATATTCTTTGTCAGACATTATATCTCCATCTGAAAAGAAAACAAACCACTGGGTTAGAAATGCTTCAACTCAGAAAATTTTGACAAGAAATCCTGAGCTTATGATATCAGTAAGATTCTATGGAACTACAGCATATCTCATTGACAAAAGTCTTATACCAATAGTTTTGTTATGGATTGACCCAGTTGTTGGATATAACTTCATAACTTATGGTTCATTCGATACGGAACGTTGCAGTGAAGGCTTACTTTACATCGTTCAGAAACCGAAGGACTTCAATACAAAGAGATATAAGATAGGAAGAACATATAATATAACTCAAAGATATGACAGTACAGTCAATAGAGTCAAGGTTGTGTTCGTTAATGATATGAGAGCTGCTGAAACAGAACTGCTTGAAGTTTTTGAGAAAAGGTATGGTGCTCCCATGAAAGGTAAAGAAACGTTTGAAGTAGATGAGATAGATAAAGCTATAAAATTATTTGACGAAGTTGCTGAAAAATACATGTAAAGCGTTTATTTTTGGTCTTTTGTGAAAGTCAGAAAAAATAAAGTTAGTTTTATTTTTATTTATTTTTTTATTTTGTATGTAAAGACAGTAATGTCAACATTAGAGAACACAACAACTGCTATCGTTCATGAAGCCATTAATGAAGAATACGAATACATACAATATAACAAACAACTTCGCCTCATTCGTTCGGTCAAAGATGACATGTACCAAATGCAAAGTATAATGAATGCTCTTCGTTCTACAAAGCAAGCATATCATTGGTTTGAAAACCAACAGACAAAAGAACTTTTAGAAGAATTTCCTCATATGATTGCTTCCCTCGGAAAACCGAGGGAAGAGATTCCATTCGAAAATCGCAAGAATTTGGCTCCTTGTTTGAAAGGTTATTATGTTCATAGACTTTTAGTAAATGCTGTAGCAATGTGGGTTCACCTCGTTATGCTTGTTATATTTTCATGATGTTAGATGAACTATATAAAGCAGAACGTGAAGATATGGAAAAGAAACTTCAAGCAAAAGATGAAGTCATTGAATCCAAAGACAAAAGCATACAGAAAAGAATACCACGTTCAGTACCAAAAGGAAAGGAAAAGAACTATAAGTATATGATTTACGCTGAAGAGTTGGAGAAAGAAGAAGATAGAGATATGGTTATGTTGCATTTAGTGAGAAGAAACAACAAGAGCTTTTATGACTTAGCTAAGATATATAAATCTGACAGAAACTGGTTCTATCGTGAAAACTTACCGATCTCAATGACACCGAATGAGCAAATAAAGGAAATTGTCAAAAATACTCTTCCTCAAACACACTATGACATCAAAGGTTGCACAATACTTACATTCAAAGAAGACTTAACATTACTGAAAGAAAAGATAACAGAATATTTCGACAACTTCAAGAGGAAGAATGAAAACTTACCGATTTCAATGAAAAACATTAACTTTTTGACGAAGTGAAGATTTGCACTTTGTCAAAATTTAATGAAAACTTACCGATTTCAATGAAAAACATTAACTTTTTGACGAAGTGAAGATTTGCACTTTGTCAAAATTTAATGAAAACTTACCGATTTCAATGAAAAACATTAACTTTTTGACGAAGTGAAGATTTGCACTTTGTCAAAATTTAATGAAAACTTACCGATTTCAATGAAAAACATTAACTTTTTGACGAAGTGAAGATTTGCACTTTGTCAAAATTTAATGAAAACTTACCGATTTCAATGAAAAACATTAACTTTTTGACGAAGTGAAGATTTGCACTTTGTCAAAATTTAATGAAAACTTACCGATTTCAATGAAAAACATTAACTTTTTGACGAAGTGAAGATTTGCACTTTGTCAAAATTTAATGAAAAACATTAACGTAAACATTAACGATAAAATTTATTTCCTGGACTGTTGTCAAAATGTCATGTTGTCATCATTTTTAAAAGAAGTTAATTAACCTGGTAGCACATGGTGACGTGGTGACACTTTCAGTTATTCAAAAATATATTTTTGCTTAAATAACTTCAGGGTCTATTTCTTCAACCATTTCACTTCCTTCGTCAATGTCAATAGAAGCTTCTTCAACCTTTGGTAAGAACTTTTGTATGACATCTTTGTTCGTTATTGTCTTCAGAGATGAAGGATAATATTTCACATTTGTTTCACCTTTCTTATATTCTTTCTGTTCGGAAAGATTCATAGCAATACTGAAGAAGTCAACGTTAGAGTTCTTTATGACAGTATAATGAGTATCTTTGACATTCACGAAGAAACTCTTTTGTTTCAAAACTACTGCTAACTCTTGTGAAGTATAACGTTTGCGGTCAATGACGATAGCTAATGGTCTGACATACTGACCAAACTTAGATTCTTTCACAAACTTCTTGTTAAAGATAACATTAACATTTGAAGCATTACTGAACTCATTCTTGATGGCATTAGCAAGAGCATTGTATGAAAAGAACTTGCAATCTTGCATGTGTTTCATTAAAATAAAAATATTAAATTATTTTGAAAAATAACTTAAAAAAATCTAATCTAATTTTTTCAAAAAAATATTTTTTTATTTCCTACTAAAGATGTATCGGAAGTTGTCTAAGTTAGAACACTCGGAAATAAAACAACTTCTTACAGAAGCTAACATAGATGTTGCAAAACATTACGCGACAAACAAAAAAGCACTCGCCGACTTCATTAAAGACTACAATGGTGAAATAACTTATGATAGAATTCATGAGTTCATAAAGCCGCAACGCGGTGAGGACGAAGTCCATGCAAGAACTTTTCCTTTAAATGACGTTGCTATTGACTTATATCATAGACGTTCAGTACCACATGAAGTAAGAAGAGAAATGTTTGACATAACAAATGCGAACGTTGGTCATACTCGTAAAGCTCTTTCGCATGATGTTCGTCAAGAGATGTTTGACATAACAAATGCAAACGTTGGTGAAACACGAAAGAGAGACGACACACTGAAACAACAGAGAAGAGAGATGTTTAAAAGTGCTATAGAACAAGTTCGCAAAGCTAATAATGTCATTCGTTCCATTGACGACAAACCAAAAGAAGGTGAGAGATGGTTAAAGAAAGATGAAGAGAATAGGAAGAGAAATGTGAAGTCAGGCAATAGACTCATTGACTTTAACATCGAAGCTTTAGATGAACCAAACAGAGACTACTTACACAAACATTTCGGTAAGGTTTTCATGAGACTCTTAGAGAAGATTAAAATAAACTCACAACAGAGATGGATGGTATGTTATAAACTTGGTGGAAAGTATGAATGTTCTACGTTAAACCTCAATAATATTGGAACATTACTACATCAGCTCTTGAAGGAGAACTTTATATCAGAGATAGAAGCAAATGCTGCAGGTATTGTTGAAATGCACTATGACTTCTTCTTGACAAACATAAAGAATCTTACTGAAATAAAGATGTATGATTTAACAGAATATGAAGGCTTAACGATGTCAGATGTAAAGAAAGGAAAGCCACAGAAGCGACCATATAGAGATGAAAGCACACTGACAGAAAGACAGAAAAGATTATTGAACAGACTTAAACAAACAGGAGATAAACAAGATATAGATGACTTCTGGAATGAAATCCTTGGTGAAAAGAAGTTTTATAAGAAGAGAAGCGGTCAGTTCTGGAAGTATCTTTGCACATTACCTATAAATCTTGAACGCTACCAAATCTTCAATGAACTGAACAAAAGAACTGCAACACTTATGACAGAAGACAATTGTTTCGTTTATGCTTGCATTCAGGCTGGAGTAAATGAAGAAACTATTGACCACATGAGAGAAGTCATTCGTGTTAGAGACTTTCCTCAAAGTAAAGTACAAGAAATTTCTGACGCAACTGGTATAGCATTTAATATTACCATTGGTTATTTCAATGACTCAAGACATAATGAAATAAAGAGATACATACCAAAAGAATGTAAAACTGTTCGAACTATTGACTTACTTCTTGTTGAAGACCACTACATGCTAAATGAAAGACTTCCAATGACAACATATTTCATTCGCAACTATATAGAAATCTTGAAGGAGTGTGGTGGAATGAACATTGAGAAACAGATGAAGATTTATACAAAGAGAGAAGATAAATATGTAGTTCGCATGGATAGAACTACACCGCTATGGGATGTTATGAAAACATTGTGGTAGTGCAAATATTTCGAACCTATTTCTTATGGAGAACTTTTCACATATACGACTGACTTATATAAACAGAACCTTGCACCATTTAAAGATTTGACATATGCTCCAAAGTATTGTGTACAACTGAAGAAGAAAGCAGAGTCAAAAGAAGTAAATAAAAATAAGTGCAAGTTCATTCCTGAGCATGTTTTCTTTGCTGACTTTGAGTGTAGTACGGATGGCTTTCATAAAGCTTTTAACATCTGTTATGACAGTGAAGATGGTTCAGTGAGTGAAAGCATATGGGGTCAAAACTGTGCAACAGAATTTTTGGAACGACTTCCTGACAAGAGTTTAATATATTTCCATAACCTCAGTTATGATATAAACTTCATCTTAAGACACATGACAGAAGTGAAAGGAACTCCCATCATTAAAGGTTCACGAACAATGCAAATAACTGGTTTATATAAAGGACGGGCAATTATTATAAAAGACTCTTACAGTGTTATAAATAAGAAGCTTAAACTATTTCCTGCTATGTTTAACTTACAAACAGGACCGAAAGAAGTATTTCCATATAACTACTACAGCAGTACTTTGTTAGCAAATGACAACAGAACTGGTGTCATTTCTGAAGCGTGTAAGTTTATCCGGGATGCAGATACATTCATGAAAAACATAGATTCCATCAAAGGTTGCAGAATAGATGAAAACCACTTCGACTTAGAAAAATATAGCACATTTTACTGCAAACAAGATGTAAGAATTTTAAGAGAAGGTTTTGTAAAGTTCCGCAATGACTTATTGAAAGAGTTTGGTTTAAACGTTTATGACTACGTTAGTATTTGTTCTATTGCTAACAAATTGTTTGAGAACAGAGTATACTTCCCGAATGGAAATCTTTATGACCTTTCAAATAAACCAAGAGAATTTATTTCGAGATGCATTCAAGGTGGAAGATGTATGTTGTCAGATAACATTAAACAAAAGAGCAAAAAGAAACTCATTGCTGACTTCGACGCTGTTTCATTATATCCATCAGCAATTGCAAGACTTTATACTTTAGAAGGAATTCCAAAAGTATTGAAGGATGAGATGTTAAGCACAGAGTATCTCATGAGACATTTATTTGATGACGACCAAAAGGAACCCATTGGTGAAAAGTTTATGTCTGGCTTCTTTGTTCTCATTAAGATAACAGAGATTGGAATACATAGACACTTTCCTTTAATAGTTTGTGACCCTGAACTAAATCCAGAACTTAACGTTCCCAGAAGTTCAAACACTTGCTGTTTAATGTATGTTGACCATATAACATTACAAGACCTCATAAAATATCAAGGTGTCAAATGTGAAGTGTTGCAAGGATACTATTACGATGGAAACAGAGATATTAGAATAAGAGATGAAGTAAAGAAGTTGTTTGAGTTAAGGTTAAAGTATAAGAAAGAAGGAAATCCTTTGCAAGAAAATATAAAGCTCATTCTGAACAGTATTTATGGCAAAACTATTCTATCTCCTATTGAGTCAAAAATAACCATAGTAAATGACAAAGATGCTATAAGATATGCCATCAGAAACTACAACCATATAGTGAAGTTCGAAGGTTTGGATGGTTCAGATAAAACTATTTTCAAGCTAACGAAAAGCATTTGCAGACACTTTAACTTCTGTCCACTTGGTGTTAATATTCTATCTATGTCGAAGAGAATAATGTGTGAAGTATTCTGTACTGCTGAGGATATGGGACTTCAAATATTTTACCAGGACTGTGATAGCATGCATATTTTCAATGAAGACATACCAAAGCTTGCAGCAGAGTTTAAGAAGAGATACGGTCGCGAACTTATAGGAAAGAACCTTGGTCAATTTCATTCTGACTTCGCAGAAATAACACCTGGAAAACAAAGTTTAGCATACAAGTCAATATTTTGTGGAAAGAAGACCTACATAGACTTACTCACTAACGATTTAAATGAAGTTGCATTCCATGCACGTTGCAAAGGTGTCAAACAAGACGTCCTTGCTTTAACAGCAAATGAAATGTTTCCTGAAGCTATACAATGCTATTACAATGAAGATAAGAACATTCACATACCTGTTGGAACATATGACAAAGACTCTGAGTTCAGTGTTATGAAGTTATATAAAGCACTTCATGATGGTCAAGAGATTGGATTTGACTTATGTAAGTCTTTAGTCCTAGTCCTTGCTTTGCTGAAAAGTTTAACTTCTCAATAACGACTAAAACAAGCTTTATTCGTAAGTTGAAGTTCTGAGGTCATTTATTTTTGTCAGCAATGAGGTCATGAATGAGGTCAGCAATGAGGTCATGAATGAGGTCATGAATGAGGTCATTTATTTTTGTCAGCAATGAGGTCATTCGTGATAAAAATAAAGCTAGCGTAGATTTTACAATACTGCGATGGTAGAGTTTAAGAGTTGTGCTTCAATGTAGAGACAGTCCTTATGGTCTGGAGGTAGCAAAACAGGTGCTTTATGGTCATGAGTGGAGAACATGTCTATCCAAAACTCACGATTGAAGCCAGTTAATTTATAGTATTTAGGGTTAGGAAGTGGTGAAGTTCTTGTATGACCAATGAACTCATTTTCAACTCCCTTACTTAAGTTTGAATATAATATAGCTTGCTTTCTATCCCAAATGCCAGGTGTTACAATCTTTGAAAATTCATTTTTCCTCGGAAGCATTGCATCATAATTGAAAACATTCTTGAAGTCTTCATTGGGTTCAGAGATTTGAAATCTTATACGTAATGGATTTTCTTTCTCTTTAGCGACTTCATTGAATGGTGAGAATACAACAAACTGACAGTCATGTGTTCCATCTTCATTTTCATTAAATTCATAATGAAAGTCTATAAGTTGTGGCTGACTACCTTCTTCTTTCAGTTGTGCAAGAAACTCACGTAAAGGCTGTAAAGTTTGTACTTCAATGTTAAACTTTTTCTCGAACATCTCATTAAATGAAATCATACATTGTTGCAATGTTGTATCGTCTTTAAAGTATTTGTATATGTGAATGTTTTGGGCGCTTAAAGACTGTTCGTCATTTTCTATCTCGACTTGAAGTATAAAGTCAACCTTTCTGAAAGCACGTGTTATATACATAGATGTTATGCCAATATATTTTTCTTCATTTATGTTCACAATCCAGTCTGTTGGAAACTTAAACGTTACTCTGTTCCCCTTTATTTTGACGTCAGGGTTTTCACTACTGAACGCAACAGATAAAGGTATTTGTCTATACATTTAGTTCCGATAAAAATAAACCATTTACTCTTTCTTCACTTCAGCTTCTTTAGCTTTTTGTTCTTCCTTTGCTTTTGCTTCTTCTCTAGCTTTCTTCGCCAGCAAACGTGGGTTCTTTTGTCTTCCAGCAGCTAATGCAGCAAGTTGTTTTTCACTAAGTTTTCTCTTTGGTCTCTCTGGCTTTTGTTCTTGTTTTTGTTCCTTCAGTTCGGATAAAATTTGCTCACGAATTTCTTTCTTCAATGCTTCAACATCTATGACCCCTTGGGTCTTGTCCGTACGGCTTGTCTGAGTCATTTGACTGCAGATAAAAAACAAAATTAAAACTTTAACCGATGTAAAATGAGCTTGTCAAAATCAGAGCGAGAGTCTATTATATTAAATGACGCCAGAGGAATACAACATCCTTTCTATTACGTAAGTCAGAGTAAAGATGGTAAAATATATGTAAGAAAAAGAAAGGTTCCATTAGCGAATGCAGAGAGCGACAACATTAAGGTGCATGGCACCGAGGGTGAAGCCCACGAAGCCCATATAAAACCTTCTGTTCAAACTGAAAAGTCAATAGAACCAGAAGAAAAGAAGCCAGATGTACTTTCAATAACGAACCAAGAGCTTATTGCAAAGTTCGTGAATTTCATTGAAAAGCAAACCGAGTCAAAGAACCCTGACCCACCAGTGAAAGAAGTTGAGACAAAAGAGAATGTACAGTTCATTGAAAATGTCAAGAAACAACTTCCACCACGAATTCCAAGAAGAAGAGTGAGAATAATGAAGTAAATAGATATTTTTATCTGAAGTAAATACATGCAGAACGAACAGCTAAACGAATTTACTCCAGCAGAGCATATTCATCAGATTCGCTCATATTTCGATATCATAGACAATGCAGTTCAAATTGGTGACACTAATAGAAAATATTCTGACGCAAAGATTCCATCACAACCTGGAACTGCTAAAGATAACACATGGGTAACATTCAATCTCTCACCTCCTGGTGAAAATATGTTGGACCTTTACAATACATTCATTACGTATAAAATGGAAGGTCAATTTATTGTAGATAAAGAAATTGGTTTAGGTTCTAATAAAACAAACCCACCAGGATTTTGGATTGGTTTCGATGACGCTTTCTATGCAGTTGCTGGATATCAAATCCTTGCAAATGGTCGTATCGTATATTCTCAAGACAATGCAAGAGAAGAAGCATATATAACTTCAAACTCACAAACTACCGAACAAATAAAGAAAGTAGATGTTTTCTCAAAGACTCGACATGAAGATGTATGGAGTCATTCGGGAACATGCAGAACAGGACAAATTGTTAGTGGTCCAATTACAGCAGGAAAATCATTTGATTTTAAGCTTCGTTTAAGAATTCCTGTTAGAAAGTTTTTACCATTAGAAGCTATAAGATTTATTCCTGCATTTGCTGGTAACATTCAGCTTAAAGTAAAGTTCAGTAGCGACGCCTTACAATGCACATCTATATCTGTAAATGATATCATTGCTTTCAATCCAACTCTTAAAGTTGCATTTGCTTCAGATTCAAATCCACCGACAAATAAATTTGTTCCATGGAATGAACCATTCACTATGATAACGAAGGCAATAGAAGCTAGTGGAACAGTTACTATTACAACTGTAACCCAGCAACTATTTCGAACAAAGATGGATTTTAATGAATGTTTCATTCATCCAAAATCATTCTCTTTAGACCCTAACATTTATACAGAACTTGTAGAACATTATACAAACGAGGCTTTATGTTTTCCTGTTAAAGTTATGGATTGGATTCCTATGGACGGTTCATTCTCAAAGAATACAGATAGTTCAAGTGCAACATTTACAGCAGCTTATACGCCTATTAATGTTAAAAGTATTTGGGCACTATTTAGAAAGAAAGACAACTATTATGTTAATTTTGAGAACCCTAAGTTTAAATATCTTCAGCTTTCCATGGGAGCTTATGGAAATATGCCTGCAGAACCTGAAAAATCATATGGACCTGTATTTTATGAAATGGTTGCGAACGCTTGCAATACAAACAATGATATGATTGGATTTAATGAAGATGTTATGAGGTCATTGGTGGATGATGGTAGTGTGGAACATAAATGGGATAGCTATGACAACACACATTTCTTATGTGGTTTTCCAACAGAAGTGGACTTTTGCTTCCAGCAAGGTCAAACATCTACTGCTCCAATAACATACAAATTGTCTGTTAAAGGACCTATTGAACTAGCAACTGAAAATGTACCAAAGCCACTTATTGGATTTATGAGGGATTGTTGCTTTGCCATACAAGTGCGTGCTAATGGAATCCCAATAATAAGATTAGATGACTATAACTTAGCAGCTGACGACAGTGAGGAATAAAGGATGAACGTTTATTTTTAAAGCTTATAAATGAGTTCTTCATCAAGCTCTCGTGAACCTTCACCATCTATGAAACAAACTTTACCAAACGATTATGGAGCACCTATTGAATATTTCTTACGAGCTGCACAATGGCAAAGAGCAGTCTCACCAAGGTTAGGTGTTCCACCAGCTCCTGTCAAAAATAGCATTTGGTCAAGTCCCTATATAATATATGGTCTCCCACTAGGTTTGCTAGCTACAGCAGGAGCAGTTATGATGTTGAAAAGAAATAAAGCAAATGTTGTAAATAATACTGAAGTAGCTGAAGTTAAACAAACTCCAACACATTCGCCAAAACCAACGTCAAAACCAACGCCTTCACAAGCAAAACCTTCAATGACTCCTGAACCTATGGAAGTACAAACTCCTGTTCAAAAGTCAACTCCTAAACCGACTCCAACATTTAAACCAGAACCTACTCCTCAAATAAATCGTAAAACTCCTGCGTTTCCTTACTGAAAAAAAATAACGTTATTTTTATTTAATATTAAAATTTTTATTTGATTGAAATGACAAATAAAGTCACTGAAGCAATGAAACAAAAGTTTTTGGTAGAATACATTAAATCAGGAACTATTCCAGAAGGTTTTTACATTCATACTATGAAGGATGGTAGAGTTCAGTTTAGAAAGATAAAGCAACCATTAGATAGAGAAGGTATATTAAGGAAGATTAAACTTCATGAGGACAACATTGCTGAACTTAAGAAGAAGTTAGAAGAGTTGGAGAAAGGAAGAGAGTTATAAAGCAATGAATTCAACAGGGTAGAAATGAGGTGAAAAAAGAGGTGAGATTTCACCACTTCACCTAAATTTATTTTTTCACCTCTGACAACGTTTATTTTTCATTAGTGAGTTCGTTAGTGAAGTCGTTAGTGGTTGGCGGTTTTGTAAATATTTAAGGTTAAGTTAGTGTTGTCGTTTGTGTTATAAAGCAATGAATTCAAGTGGGTGAAAAACCAGGTGAAAAAAGAGGTGAGATTTCACCACTTCACCTAAATTTATTTTTGTGCTATGTTTTCATACGCGTGAAGGTAGTAATATCATTTATTTTTAAGTTTATTTTTTATTTTATTTTTATGTAAATGACAGAACAAAAGCAACTCATTCGAATTCCACAGTATAACAAACATACATTTAAACATTTATTCTTCCTTCCTGAGCATAACATGTTCTTTCAAATACATCCGAGACCAGTTGACTTTTCATTGACTGTGTATAAAGATAGAAATAGTTATATCATTAAACCATACGATGACGAAGGTAAGTTATGTAAATTGTACGTTAAGAAGTTAGAGAAAGTTTATGGCTTCAAGTATGACTACAATAGGGTTAACACTGATGATGAAGATATTGAGGAAAATTTATGAGAACATTAGTGAAGTCGTTAGTGAGAACGATAGTGAGAACGTTTATTTTTTACATTAGTGAGTTCGTTAGTGAAGTGGTTGGCGGCTTTGTAAAGTGTCAAATTCACAAGTATTGGGTAAGGTGGAACGCAGTGCCGCCGTACCCATGACTTGTATACTAACTCATATTGTCACCCAAACTATCAGTCTTATTCTCACTAAAATCGTCAGTCATATTGTCACTCAAACCGTCAGTCATATTGTCACTCAAACTATCAGTCTTATTCTCACTAAAACCATCAGTCATACACTCTCTTAAACTATGAGTCATATTGTCACCCAAACTCTCAGTCATATTCTAAATAAAACCGTAAGTCATAGAGGCTGTCAAACCGTCAGTTATATTGTCGGTCAAACCGTCAGTCATATTGTCGGTCAAACCGTCAGTCATATTGTCAGTCAAACTGTCAGTTTTACTCTCAATAAAAAGCTAATTCATAGTGTCTGTCAAACCGTCAGTCATATTGTCAGTCAAATTGTCAGTCTTATTCTCACTAAAACCATCAGTCATACACTCTCTTAAACTATGAGTCATATTGTCACCCAAACTCTCAATCATACACTCACTCAAATCAACAGTCATATTGTCAGTCAAACCGTCAGTTATATTGTCACTCAAACTGTCAGTCTTATTCTAACTAAAACCGTAAGTCAAAGTGTCTGTCAAACCGTCAGTCATATTCTCAGTCATACTGTAGTTCATACTATCACCCAAACTGTTGTTCATACTGTCACTCAAACTCTAAGTCATATTGTCAGTCAAACTGTGAGTCATATTCTCTCTCAAACCTTGAGTTATACTGACAACCAAACCCTCATTCAAAATGTCACTCAAACTGTCAGTTATATTCCTAGACACATTCAAACTTTCAGGCATATTGTCAGCCAGATACTCAGTTATAGAGTCACTTTTTTGTCATTAATGAATTCAGTTATAGATTCAAACATACATTCGGTCCAATATTGGATCATGCAGTTAATTCTACATTTTTTTAACTTGTAAGTCATTATTTATGAAAATATTTAAAATAGTGTAATTGCACAATGATGTGCAGTATTATCTTTAATATTAATATTGTAATATGCAATGTTATATTCTAATTTGAATGTTCCTTTTTAACCTCATGATTTCTTCTCACTGATCTGCCTTTTTATGCAGCATTTTGTATTTAATCTCTCTTATCCTTTAGATTCTCTATGCTTTCCATCTTTCTAAACCAGATTCCATTGTTAATTCTTAAATTAACACAAATCTTAAATTTCATATTAGTCATTGATCTGAAGTTATTGAAACATCTGACGTCTTTAGATTATCTTATCTAATATTAAAATGATTGATCTATTTACATTTTTAAAATAGTCCTAAAAAGTCTCAATATTTATAAAAGCATAATAAAATTAAATTTTTTAATATCATTTTGTAAATTATTCGTTTACTTTATGGCATAGTCTTGAAAAAGTATCAAAAACATTATCTTAATGGTCTCTAAAGAGGTTAAGTAGCATACACACAGATATGCTAATGTGGTAAAAAGAGATTTATTGCAAAAAGTCCAAAATAGTATATTTATTATCAAGATTCGCGTGGAAACGTACGAGTTTGGGACGAATAACTAACATTCTTAAACATTTAGTAATACTCTGATAAGTACAAGTCCTTAGATGCGACATATGGCTTCTTTTGTTCTAACTTACCAAATTCAAGAACTCATGTTGGCAGTAACTCTGTACTAAACATACTCTAAGAGCTTGTCATTATTCCGTGTATGACAAATCATACTTTAATGTTTTACTCGTTGAATAAAGAATGCTTGATTTTGAAATCGAATGTTTTTGCTTAAATAGTTCCAGATTTTTGAACTAGGGACGGAATTAGAGGACACGTCTTTGCTGGTTAGTCGCGTGCTTGATGACAATATGCTACAATTATAATAAACGTACAAAAGGGACGAAAATTGAGAGCTTGTAACTTTCAACCGAATCAGATTACGCGGGGAAAATAGGTTTTGAACGCTTAGATAGGGGTAAAATCAGACTTTATGAGGTATGTTGTATAATTATAGTTTGTGCTGTAATATGTCATGAGATCAGAATATGAAGGGAGTATATATGTGTTATTGTCACAGGTATATATGTGAGGATAGCTCAGTAGAGTCTGTAAAATAGTTTAGTAGAAGAAAAAGTTATATAAAGAACAAAAAATTAAAAATAAACACTATTAAGTGAAAAGCAAAGTTTACCTATTTTATGTAAGGTTTTGTCTTTGTGGGTTGAGGTATATGACAAAAATGATTGGATAATGCACTCTTGTCGGTAAACTTCCGCGTTCAAGTTATCAATGCGGAACATTGTTCCATTCTGGGAGACATGCAGAGGCAATGTCTCCCAGAATGAGACACTGCGACCGACAAGAGTGCACAATACACTCTTGTCGGTCAAAGTTTTGGAATCACATTCTGATTGCGGAACATTGTTCCATTCTGGGAGATATGCAGAGGCAATGTCTCCCAGAATGAGACACTGCGACCGACAAGAGTGCACAATACACTCTTGTCGGTCAAACTTCCGCGTTCAAGTTATCAATGCGGAACATTGTTCCATTCTGGGAGACATGCAGAGGCAATGTCTCCCAGAATGAGACACTGCGACCGACAAGAGTGCACAATACACTCTTGTCGGTCAAAGTTTTGGAATCACATTCTGATTGCGGAACATTGTTCCATTCTGGGAGACATGCAGAGGCAATGTCTCCCAGAATGAGACACTGCGACCGACAAGAGTGCACAATACACTCTTGTCGGTCAAAGTTTTGGAATCACATTCTGATTGCGGAACATTGTTCCATTCTGGGAGACATGCAGAGGCAATGTCTCCCAGAATGAGACACTGCGACCGACAAGAGTGCACAATACACTCTTGTCGGTCAAACTTCCGCGTTCAAGTTATCAATGCGGAACATTGTTCCATTCTGGGAGACATGCAGAGGCAATGTCTCCCAGAATGAGACACTGCGACCGACAAGAGTGCACAATACACTCTTGTCGGTCAAACTTCCGCGTTCAAGTTATCAATGCGGAACATTGTTCCATTCTGGGAGACATGCAGAGGCAATGTCTCCCAGAATGAGACACTGCGACCGACAAGAGTGCACAATACACTCTTGTCGGTCAAACTTCCGCGTTCAAGTTATCAATGCGGAACATTGTTCCATTCTGGGAGACATGCAGAGGCAATGTCTCCCAGAATGAGACACTGCGACCGACAAGAGTGCACAATACACTCTTGTCGGTCAAACTTCCGCGTTCAAGTTATCAATGCGGAACATTGTTCCATTCTGGGAGACATGCAGAGGCAATGTCTCCCAGAATGAGACACTGCGACCGACAAGAGTGCACAATGCACTCTTGTCGGTCAAACTTCCGCATTCAAGTTATGAATGCGGAACAGTGTCTCATTCGAGGAGCCCTCGAAAAGAACCTCACATCGACTCTCTCTTTCCGGCATCTTTACCGCATAGAAAACTGCTCGTTCGCAACTTTGTGTGCAATCTAAGAGATGATTGCGGTAAAGATGCCGGGAAAATTGATGCTGCAGCCCCAGGCCGCACTCAGATTTCATCCCGCTACACAATTGTTCATCCAACAACTGTCATAGAGGTTGAAATTTTCGACCAGAAGTGAAACATATCATTTTTAAGACTGCGGCGCGCAAGCAAGTTTGAACCTTTCAAGGGTGATCAGTCCTTTACTCATTTCAAGACCTCTTGTTGCCTGATAAAACGATACTTCCTTCCTTGTGGGCCA